TACCACTTCATGGTTATCTTCTTAAAAACTTCCAGTGTTTGAGCACTCACAGCTTTTGGAGGCAATCCACTGGTTGATTGTCCTCACTGTTTAGGAAATTTCTCCTCAGTTCTAAGTTGCTTCTCTCCTTGATTAGTTTCCACCCATTGCTTCTTGTTCTACCCTCAGGTGCTTTGGAGAATAGTTTGACTCCCTCTTCTTTGGGGCAACTCCTGAGATATCGGAAAACTGCTATCATGTCTCCCCTAGTCCTTCTTTTCATTAAACTAGACATTCCAGTTCCTGCAACTGTTCCTTCAAATGTTTTAGCCTCCAGTCCCCTAATCCCCTTTCTTGCTCTTCTCTGCCCTCTTTATAAACCAATAGAAGCAGGAACAGTTAATAGCATACCACCAAATTCTTACTTTGTCATTTAGAAGTTTTGTTGTAATTATTATGAATTATCGCTTTGATTTCTGGAAGCCTGTAATTTGTGTCTGATGACACCAAAGAAAAGGTACCATGTTTCCTCAAAAATAAGATAGGATCTTATTTAATTTGACCCCCTCAAAATAAGTATTGGGTCGTATTTTTGGGGAGGTCTTATTGTTCTTGAGGTGCAGGAGGCGTTGAGAGTGGTTACCTCATGGCTGCTGCTCTGTTGCAATATTTTTGGGGAGGGCTTATTTTCAGGGGAGGGCTTATTTTAGCGCATATGCTCAAAAGCCCAATTATTATCCAGGAAGATCTTATTTTCAGGAAAACAGGGTAGTACAGAAGACGCTCTGGTTACGACCATAATTCATTCCATAACTTTGGTCGCAAACTGATTTTGTCATGACCTGAACCTAATTTTGGAAATTTGGCACTTGCAAAAAAAAAGCGGTGCAGAAGGGGAAATCGGCCAAGGGGGGAAAAAAAACAAATTTGTGATTTTTTTTCATCAGAACCTGATTTGTTCATGGTCCAGAGGTTCTACTCTACTACTCTGTTTCCCTGAAAATAAGACCTCCCCGGATAAGAAGCCCAATCGGGCTTTTGAACCCGATGGTTTAAATGGTTTTTCCTCCGAACAATCCCTTGCCAATTGTAGCAAATATCTTCTTACCTGTCTCTGGACAAAATCCAAATTTCTTATCCCGGTCGTAATCTTCGGTAGTGCTACACCATCTATACCCATCTTGTCTTCCTTCTGTGGTGCAGCTGTCAAAGGATCTTCCTTCAAACAGGAAGGGGAATTTGCACGGCTTCCCATCGGAGTTTCCACCCATGGTGAAAAGAGCTGCAGGGTAAGAGGTACACAATTAAAACCTTGGCGGCATCTTTCCAAGTTGGCAGCCAGATACGCAAAGCGAAATATGGAAGGGGGGTGTTCCCCCTTTCTTTTCTCTCTCTCTCAATAAAGAATGTTTAAAAGTTTTTGGAAGTGTTAACAACAGTAGGAAGGACGGTAGTAAGAACTCATATAAACTATCGAGAACTTCTGGGCGTTGAAGTCCACAGGTCTTAAAATTGCCAAGGTTGAAAAACACAAACGCTAATTAATATCCAGCCTGTAACTTTTACCAGGCCTGTTTTCCCCCCAAAAAAGTTGAAGCTAATTGTGTTACTGTTGTGGCCCACCAGTAGCTAGCGGAGCTGGCAGTAGAATCGGACAGTGGGGAGGTTAGGGAGGAACATGGGCTAGTCCTGGAGTCTGGGGAAGGCTCTGATGAGGGCTCTGTGTCAGAGGCAGAGAGGGGGCCAAGGCCGTCTGACAATTATCAGGAGATAGACAGCTGTGAGGCAGAGGAACAGCTGGAGCCTGTTCCCAGTGTGCGCATGCAGAGAGTTGCCAAATGAAGGGAACAGCTAAAGAACAGGGGTTGCCTTGGGAGTAAGGACACAGGTGGATGATGAATGGCCCCTCCCAGATGAAATAAAAGAGGAGCGAAAGGGGAGGGGGCTTTTTCAGGAAACAATTCATTTATTCGTTTCTTCGTTCATTTGTTTCAGGAGTGTGAAGATCTGTCCGTGAATCTCAGAGACTCTGTGCCCAGCCTTTCCTTGCATAGCACTGTGTTTGGAAAAAATTTACATGGCAGCTTCCCAAGCTAGATAAGGTCGGTGGTCATAAATTCACCTTTGAAAGACTGTTTGCCAGGCCTTGGCTGAATGTGAATGAGAGGAATTCACGTTCATTTAATAAAAGTGGTTTTGTTGGGACCAAGACTCTCTGCTTCATGCTTTTTGGGGAAGCCTAGGTCAGGAGAGTTACATCCACCCACCACAACTTGTTGTGGCTTGTTAGGTTGCATCAAATGTCACTCATTGACTTTTCTGGATTGCTAGCGATTTGAGAATGGGTTTCCTTAGCCTTCCAGCCATGTTTCTCGTTTGTTAAGAAGACCATGCTAGCAATGCTAGTTAAAATGCATGTCTGAATGTAGCCAGCATCGGAGTTCCAAGACTTCCTTTAAAACAGCTTTTCTTTTGGAGAATGCAAAGGGAACGGAGGCTGCTAAGGCAGGCATATTCATTTGCTTAGGGAAGCAGCTTTGGGCTATAAACTCAGCCAGGTTTGGCCTTTTAACAACATATCTTATTAGCTTAACCACCAACAATTTAGGAGAAGAGAAAACCAGTATGGAAACTTAATGTCGTGTTGCTGGAAATAATCATTGTCTCCATGCCCAAAGAAGGCTGTTTTTTTTTCCTGTTTGGTGAGCACAGCCACCAAAAGTTTCCAAAGCCTTTCCTTTTGCCGTAATATTCTTTAACAGCTTCTGCAGCTTTGATAGCAGAAACAACTCTTAACGCTGGAGTAGCAATAATTAAAAGGAGAATCTATTCAATGGGGAACGATGCTGGAAGGCAGGATCCCAATTCCCAAAGGGACAGAGGGTCCCAAAGTTTGTTCGCAGAATTTTCCTATGTCACCATTCCCAAGGGGCAGCGAGGTTTTGGGAGGTTCCCCGAAATATGGATCCGAGAAAGGAAAGCCTTCTGCCTTTCTTCTTTCCCTGCTTAACAAGCATTTCCAAGTTTAGTTCTAAAGCAGGGGTCAGCAATTTGCGGCTCTGGAGCTGCATGTGGCTCTCTTTCATCCATCTGCTCTGGCTCCCTTTTGCTGGTCGGCTCCACAATTGATAGGGCTTTTGATTAGGACAGGTAGAGGATGCTGCGCTAGGGGAAGGCTCTATGGTGGGAGAACTGGACTTCCAGTTAGCAGAGGAAAAAGGACACCATGCTAGGAGGAGACTCTAAAGCAAGGGTCAGCAGTCTGTAGCTCCGGAGCCGCATGTGGCTCTTTCATCCAACTGCTGTGGCTCCCTTTTGCCGGTTGTCTCCACAATTGATAAGACTTTCAATTAGGACAGGTAGAGGATGCTGTGCTAGGAGAAGACTCTATGGTGGGGGAACCAGACTTCCGGTCTGCTCCAGAATTGAATTGGGGGGTGGGGGGCACTTCTGATTAGGACCTTTGTGGCTCTTTGAGTGTTTAAGGTTGCTGACCTCTGTTCTAAAGTAATGCGCACAAAGGGCAGATCGCCACAAAGCCGCAAGATGTGAAACCAAATAGGCAAGGAAAGAAGAGTATGGATTAAGTAAGGGTCCTTCCTTCCTGGGGAATTTCAAGACAAAACACTTTCTCCAGGATGCATGCATTTATAAGATTTGCAGAGAGATAGGGCTTGTTTTTCTTTCTGCCAATAACATCAAAATATCCACATTTACATTCAGCCCTGCTGCCGTTTCCATGGCTTTTATTATACCCATTTCTCAAGAGCTACAGCAAAAGTAAGAGGGAGGCTGGGGAAATATTGGGACGCACGGATTTGTTTTGATATGCGATTGATGGCCCTTAAATCCTGCCTTCCCACGAATGGAAATCAAAGAGTAAAAGCTGAGAAAATAGAATGGTAACCGGTAATACATTATGAGTGATAACGATGTCCTCATTCGTGAGAATTAGCCATGGTGGGGAAAAACAGAAAGAAGGAGAGAGAGAAGAAAGAAAGACAGACAGACAGATAGAAAAAAGAAAGAAAGAGAAAAAGAAAGAAAGAAAGAAAGAAAGAAAGAAAAAGTAAGGAAGGAGAGAGGGAAGGAAGGAGGGAGGAGAATAGAGGGAGGGAGGAAAGAAATAGAATAGAGGGACAGAGGGAGGGAGAAGAATAGAGGGAGGGAGGGAGGAGAATAGAAGGAGGGAGGAAATAAGGGGAGGAAGGAAGGAAGGAGAATGGAGGGAGAGGGAGGGAGGAAGGATGGAAGAAGAATAGAGGGAGGGAATTTGAATTTGAATTTATTATTTTGAATTTGAATTCAAAATAGGAAGGAAGAAGGAGAATAGAGGGAGAGAGAGAAGGAGGGAATGTGAATGGAGGGAGGGAGGGAAGAGAATAGAGGACGGGTGGAAGGAGAATAGAGAGAGGAAAGGAGGGAGGAAGGAGAATGGAGGGAGGGAGGGGGAAGAAAGGCTTCACATAAAAGAGCACTTCCTGAGGTAGTTTTGGGTTTTCTGTCTTCTTCATCAAATCTCTACAACCTTGGAGAAGAGAGATCGTATGCAGTGGTGATTGGGGACTTTTGAGTCAGAGAAACTCTAACCCATTGACATTTAGAAGACTTGCTCTTGTCTGCTCTCGTAACATCTGCATTTATTAGGCAAGCCTTTACAAAACAATGTTTTGGAATAATAATGTGAACAAGGCCACTATTTGTCTAACAAGGACCATCTGTGAGTTTGTTGTTATTCAGGGATTCTGAGGGGGAAAAAAATGGCATCACTCACAAAAGCCCTCGATCTGCCGACAAAATCCCAGCCCTGGAGTTTTCTTCATGAAATGCAAATATCTGCCCAGCCTCGCTGCAATCTAATTGTATAAACTCATTACAAAAACCATAATCCTTGTTCCCAGTAATGAGGGGGAAACCCTCTATTTTTAATAGAAAATTGTCCTCGTGGCTTGCTCTGGTGTACGGTATCTTTGGGGTTAATATTTATTGTTTTCGTGTTTTATCTTGTTACTTTTACTTCTTGTAAGCTGATGGGTGGCATATAAGTTTAATTTAACTTAACCAATCAACCAACCAACCTGTCAACTTGCAAATCATCCCTGGCCTGCTCTTGAGTTGCCATAGAAAATGGGGTATGGGAAACCGATGAAACGACGGGGCAGCAAAAAACAGGTGCACATTCCAGACTTATCTCCCTCAAGGCTGTATCCCAGGGTTACTTACAGCTGGAGGAGGGGAGTGATCTCTACAACTCATAAAATTGCCCCCCCCCCATTGGATTGTGATTGATGACACACTCAGTGGGGGGGAGGGGGAAACAGGGTCATAATTGGGGCTGTAAATTACATGGGGTCAGAGCTGGCTTCATTTGGGAACCTGCCAACATGAACCTCCTAATAAATAACTGGATTTCTTTTGAAGCTTGGCTCGAGACTCATGATTTAATTAAGGCATCTATTGGAACCCTGACGCAACCAATCAACTAACCAATCAATCAATCTCTGTGCGGTAGACAATGTGTATCAGTCCAGATATGGCACCTAAATGGATATTTGAAGGATCCAATCTTGGTTAGTCACCAAGATCAGATCTTCTGAGCTTTTGGACTCATGCTGGAGTCCATGTCTAGGGAACATCTCTCTCTCCCTCCTTCCCTCTTTCCCCATTCTGATAAGAGAGAAGTTCCTGAGGATGGGCTCCAGCATGAATCCAAAAATTCGGAAGTCTGCATCTCTGGTTCTGCTGCCTGACCCACATTGGACCCTGCACCATTATCCTGGGATACATATATTTGTCTTCATTCAGGAAAAATTGACATTTGCTTATTATTGTTTCTCTTTGATGGCAACCGAGCATCCGATAAATGCCCCGTTGGAAGAAATTGCTGCAGTAATAAAACCGGGGTTTATAGTTGCATGGTTCTCACTTGGCAGGAATTCTGGTTTCCTGCCCACTCGTGACTCTCATTGGCTTTGTCAACTTCTCTGTTGCCATGAAGGCACCAGGGTATCACATCGTCATTTCCCTGAGGTTTTGATTTCAGTGGTGTTTTGCAGCTCCTCCTCACCATGCTGGTTTTTATTTTATTTTAATCACCTCTGACCAATGGTGAGACCTTCTCCCTTGAGGGATCAAATGAACCCATGGAAACTGGCACACATGAAGGGTGAGAGCCACGGTGGTGCAGTGGTTAGAGTGCAGCACTGCAGGCTACTTCTTCTGCCTGCTGGCTGCCTGAAATTTGGCAGTTCCAATCTCACCAGGCTCAAGGTTGACTCAGCCTTCCATCCTTCCGAGGTGCATAAAATGAGGACTCAGACTATTGAGGGGAAGAGGCTGCCTCTGTAAACCGCTTAGGGAGGGCTGCAAAGCACTGTGAAGCAGTATCTCAGTCTAAGTGCTATTGCAATTGCTATTGAGAAGATTCAATGGTTCGCTTCTACCCTGCCTTAAGACCACAAGCCATTAACCAATTAAAGCAGCCTCCTTAAAGCAGCCTCCTTAAAGCTCCACAGCCCACCCTTCAACTTACATTCATGGGGGCAGAATCCATATTTGCCATCTGTGTCGAAGTTGTAGGTGGTCGAACACCACAGGAACCCATCGCTTCGCCCTGCACCCGTGCAGCTGTTGTATTCCTTCTCGCCAAACAGGAAGGGGAATTTGCAAAACTCCCCATCCGCGTTGCCGTACTTCACCCTGACCACTGGGGAAAGGAGAGGACGGAGGATTCATCAGCAGAACAAAAACTACATCCACAGCAGCCAGTGACACCTGAGGAGGCTCTGAAGCGAAAACGGCTGTCTTACCTTGGCCTTCACCCAAAGTCCAAAATTCGTCGTCGTCAAAATGTGAATCGCCTCCAACCCCTGGTCCAGGAGCAAAAGCATGGGCTAGAAGACCATCCTTACCATCAAAAGGATACCCATCCCCATGCTCTGCAGAAGAAGGAACAAAAGCAAAACAGCATCAGACCCTGGCATCTAGGACATCTTTGGAGGTAGGAGCAGGGGTGAACTTGAGAGACCGCCTCCTGCCAATTACCTCCTTACGACCTATTAGATCACACAGATTAGGCCTCCTCCGAATTCCATCCGCCAGTCAGTGTCGACTGGCAACTACGCGGAGGAGAGCCTTTTCAGTAGTAGCTCCGACCCTTTGGAATGATCTCCCCGTGGAGATTCGTANTCTGGGTCCACTGGTGGAACCTCTTCTAACCGGTTCGGTAGATTTGACGAACCGGTTCTACCGAATAGGTGCGAACTGGCAGGAACCCACCTCTGGTGTGGATGATTTCAGGCCAAATCTTACCTGAAAAAAATACCGATTTCTCTTCTTGAGGAGCTTCGTAGACAGCGTCGATTTTTTCTGGAAGGTCGGTCCAGAAAACAGCCACCAGCAATGGTCCAGTTGGCCGGCTCCTTTCATTCGCGGTCCTCCAGAAGAATCTAGCGACAAAAATGAGAAGAAGCTTTATTGGCAGATGTGCTTTTTAAACAAACTGAGCCAAGTGCATTCATGTGTACATAAACACACACACGCACGCAACAATGCTCGTATTCTACTAGCAACGTAAACATTAAATGATAGGGGCCTCTGTTATTATTCGGTGCATCAATCTTTTATTGGTGGGAGTTGCCCCATGAAATCTTTTTACCGTGTGATGCCCAGACGTTTTGCCATTCATAACAATTTTCTGCAGCGCTCGGAATCAATTCTTAGCAAAGAACGAAAATAAGTAAATGAAATAAAATCAAGCAAGAGGGACGAAATAGCGGCTGCTTCAATTATCCTAGCAAATAAACTGATTTACAAGGCACTTAGAACTCTTTCAGCCTTCTCTTGTGCGGCACGCCGAACAGATGGATACGCATTCGGCAAAAGCCAGCCTTTGTATTGGATTCCATTACTCCGGGTGATTATGATCGCAGCAAGTTTTAAAAAAAAGAAGAGATCAAATCTAATAATCATCGATCAAAACAGCTTGGCTGTAAATGAAACCCGGGAACGTTAAAACTGTTCATCAGAGGGATGAAAGGAGCAATTTGGAAGCTGTTGAGCTGATATCCTCTTTCGATTTATGAATATTGGGGAGGGGAAAAAAAAACAACTTTAACTCCGGTTTGATTTCAGCGGCAGTATGTAGGAAATTATGGGACAGGATGTTAATAAAAATGTTATTGTGTAATCTTTTTTCCTCCCTCCATCTCTGATGAGCGGTTCCTTTCGTTTAAAGAACTCCAGAACTAATAGCTGAAACCAGCTGGCCCATTTCTCAAGCAACAAGTCTGGGAATGCCGTATAATAAGTCAGACAAGGTTGCCCTTTGATAATGTTGAGCAAAATGCTTGTCAGATTAGTCTTTTGAGCTCGATTATCTGTCTTTTCTTTGCCCAGGTTCGCCTGGTGCACCAGTTGCAACCCTACCTGAGCCGGGAGGCTCTCACAACAGTCACTCGTGCCCTTGTGACCTCTAGGCTGGAGTACTGCAATGTGCTCTACATGGGGCTGCCCTTGAAGAGTATTCGGCGACTTCAGCTAGTCCAGAATGCGGCCGTGCGAGCGATTGTGGGTGCACCTCGCTTCACCCACATAACACCTATCCTCCGCGAGCTGCACTGGCTACCTGTCGATCTCCGGATACGCTTCAAGGTGCTACTTGCCACCCATAAAGCCCTCCATGGTAGTGGATCTGGGTACTTGAGAGACCGCCTACTGCCGATTACCTCCACGCGACCTATCAGATCTCACCGATTAGGCCTCCTCCGAGTTCCATCTGCTGGCCAGTGCCGACTGGCGACCACGCGGAGGAAAGCCTTCTCGGTAGCAGCTCCGACCCTCTGGAACGATCTCCCCATGGAGATTCGTACCCTCACCACCCTACAGACCTTCCGCATAGCACTTAAAACCTGGCTATCCCGTCAGGCCTGGGACTAAGATTGTAACCCGCCCGAATGGTATGAATGTTGTGTTCTTATAATTGTATTGTTCTATATGTCCAAAGTTTGTTTCTCCCCCTTCCCTTTTTAAGTTGTAAGCCGCCCTGAGTCCCCCCAGGGAAAAGGGCGGCATATAAATTTAATAAAATACCAAATACCAAAATACCCCGTTTTTAAACGAGAGCTGGCTCTCTGGTTGTGTGTAGGGCAACAAACCAACCCACCCAGCTTTATAGCTTGTAACAGTGACACAAGCTCAGTTGTCATTTGCAACACGTCTGTCCGATTCTCACATGTTAAACTTGGTTGTTACTTGTAAGGACTGTTTTCACTGTGCGTGTTATTACACCGCCTTGAATCCAAAACTAAACTCGTCATTGTCAGGAATGCAATTATATTCCTTTTAGAATTTTGGCCTGCCACACTTTCTCTTATTTCATCATGCTGTTTCTTTAGTATAGGTGATGGGAGGAGGGAATAGACAGGAGTAGGATTGTGGAATGTATTGTTTTCATTCTTTACTAGAAGCCAAGGTCATCTTTTGTCTCCGCACTTTTACACCTGACCGGAAGCAGCTGGGTGGAGACGCCAGCGTGGAAGAAGAAGATTGGACCATGTGATGGATTGTGGGTGTGGGGACAAGATCATGAACGTTTAACTGGGTGGAATTCTGATGTCATTTCCAGAATTGGGATTAACACAGATGTGCTAAGATGTCTGCTTTATTAAATTGGAACTTTAAGGATCGTTTTGCCTTGGACTCTGATTTAATTCTACTTGATACCTGGAACGCTGACAGTCATCTTCATTTAAAGACCCCATAATCCCTTGCAGGTTGGAGCCTGGACACCTGAATGGAGCAGCAAACACTAGCAGAGTGTTTGAATGGCTGGTTGCCTTTCCTGTCCCCAATGTGGAGTTTTGTTCAGCAGGTATTTTGCAGTATCCTTCCCCTGGAGTGCGGGTGGGAATTCAGATTTTACAGTATCCTTTCCCCTGCCACGCCCACCAAGCCACGCCCACAGAACCAGTAGTGAAATGTTTTGAATCCCACCACTGTCCGTGATGGCGAACTTGTGGCACGTTTGCCACAAGTGGCCTGCAGAACATTCTCTGCGGGCACATGAGCTGTCACCCCAGCTCAAATCCACAGGACAGGCGTACGCGCCTGTTGCTGTGCGGCTGATTTTTGGGTTTCTACCGTGCATGCAGAGGGGAGTGCAGGGGCAGGTGCCCCCCCTGCAGCCCATTTGGGGAGGGGGTCATGTGAGCATGACTGGGGGTTGGGGGGAGTGCGGAGATCATGCACAGTGGGGTGAGCCATGCACGGGTGGTAGTGGTGTTGCGCATGCATTGGATTACGGTTTGCATTGCATTATTCCATCACTGGAATAGATCCTTCTCTGTCCCTCAACTCACCTGTCTTTGAAGAAAAAGATCTCGCCCCTCATTTGAGCCACGGCATCAAAGACAAGATCTTGGCCACAAAGTTCAGGAGTGACAGGTCCAAGGGTCGGTTTTGGTCCTGGTCCAACATCAATCGAACCCCCTACAAATCAAGAAAAAGTATAAGTATAATCTTTATTGTCATTGTACTTAAATACAACCAAATTGGTTTTTAAAAAAAGTCATCAGTGATCTGGACAATCTGCTTTTAAGCCTAGAAATCAGAAGGAGAAGCAATATCAAGAATCCTTGTTCTGCTTTTTTTCCCCCTGGTAATGCAAAATAAAAATAAAAATAGCATTAGATAACACAGAAGGGAGGAAAGAACATGAACAGGGCATCTGCTTTTCTTCAAATGGTTCACCACGATGATTCCACTATTTTAGGTTCTCCTGGAAAAGCTTGAACCCCAAGATTAATAAGGATATGGACTCAAATGTTTGAGATAGGTTTGAACCAACTGGAAAATTCACCATAAAGTTCCTGGATCCCTTGAATGTCATCTTGAGAAAGGCGGAAGTGCTTGGTATAGGTGTAGATGGGGGCCATCAGTGCTCCAGGATCTTCAGAATGTTCGAGTCCCATTGCGTGGCCAAATTCATGAGCAGCAACCAAGAACAGACTGTACCCTGGAAGAAAACAAACCAGCTTCTTAAGGCTGCTTGATGGGCATTGTCCATACACCTCTCTTTGTGAAGTCAATCTAACCATTTTACAAGAGCAGTTTCTGGGGCTTTGAAGGCATCGAAGACAGAAGATGTAACCATTAAAGAAAAGGACATACCTTATTTTTCGGAGTATAAGACACTCTGGAGTATAAGACGCACCTAGCTTTTGGGGAGGAAAACAAGGAGGTGGGGGAAATCTGCTTCTGCCTCCCAGCAATTTGCCTCCTTGCAGCAAACAGCAAACAGCCCATTTTACTTTCAGTTTCAGCACAGCCTGATTAGCCCAAGCAGCTGATTGTCGGTTGCATTGGCCTCCCAACAATCAGCTGTTTCAGGCTGCAGGGATTGCCATAGCCTATTGCCTCCTCCATGTGCCCCATTTTCCGCCCATTCCAGGCAGCAGGGATCAGAATAGGCAGAAAATCAGGGACGCAAAGACCGAAAATGGGGCACACAGAGGCAAAAAACGGGATGCTGAGACTGAAAATGGAATGCCCAGAGGCAACAAGAGATTGGGCCTCCTTCAGATGCCATCAGCTGGACAGTGTCAGCTGGCGGGCNTATATCAAAAAGTCAATACAATCAAAGCAAATATTTGAAGATGAAGAAGGAAGAATGTTGATAGTGGAAATAATGATGAATAATAAAAAAATATTGATGGTGGCGATATATGCGCCAAATGAGAATCAAGAAGAATTATATGGAAAATTCCACAAAAAGATAATAGAATATGAATATGAAGAAATATGTATATTGGGGGACTTTAATGTGATAGTAAATAATGAGTTGGATTATAAAACTGCAAAGTTGAATAAGAAGTTAAGGAGAACACTGGCTAAAGCATTCTTTATAATGATGGAGGAATTAAGTCTACAAGATGTATGGAGAAGAAGACACTTGAGAGAAAAACAATATACATTTTACTCAAATAGACAAATGTTGTGGTCAAGAATAGACATGATTTGGACAACAATAGATCTAATTGCTAAAACACAAAAGATTGATATAGAAACAAGTATATAGGCAGACCACAATCCAATAATAATGACATGGAAAGGTCACAGAAAAAAATGAGATGGACATTAAATCAAAATCTGTTAAATGAAAAAGAATTTCAGCAATACATGGAAAAAGAATTGAACTTTTTTTTTTTGAAGAGAATAAGGAGAACACATCCCTACAGAATGTGTGGGATACCAGCAAGGCATATACTAGAGGACTAGTAATGACTTATCTAGGAAAAAGAAACAAACAAAATAGACAAACATGAAAGAAGATAGAGGAGGAACACAGGAGACTGGAAATAGAACTACAAAGAAACCCACAAAATGCTAACATTAGAAATTTGATGGACCTAGAAAAACATAAATTGAATTTAATGGAAAACGAAGAAGTAGCAAAGAAAGTAAAAGCCACAAGACAAAATTTCTTTGAAAACGCAAATAAACCAGGACGATGGTTGGCATACAAGATGAAAAAAGAGAAAAAAAAATCATAAATCAATTATCAGACCAAGAAGGGAATATTTGTTATCAAAAAGAAGAAAAGGAAAAAATGGTAGAAAAATATTGTAAGGAATTATACCAGCAAGACACAGTGGCAGAGGAAAAGATAAAACTATCTAGAGAAGGCAGAAATACCTAAGATTCCAGAAAAATTTAAAAAGGCACTAGAAGAGAGACTAACAATGATGGAAGTAATAGAAGCAATAAAAAGACAAAAACAAACAAACAAACAAAAATGGGGAAAACACCAGGTCCAGAGGGATTACCAGTGGAATTTTATAAAACACTACAAGATGTGCTAAGCAACATCATGCTAGAAGTATTCAATGAGCTGTTATTTAAAGAAAAAATACCGGATTCTTGGTCGGAGGCTTATATAACTCTTATCCCAAAAGAAGAAACAGACTTGCAGCAAATAAAGAACTATAGACCAATTTCTTNTAAAGAACAAGAAGAAAGGGTGTTAAGAGAAGGAGCAAGAGCAAAAGAGATGAAAGAACAAATGGAGATGAGAGTGACTAGATCAACTAAAATGACAAATAATTAAGACATGGAAGAAGAAATAAAAATAATCGCATTAAACATAAATGGACTAAATTCGAGCACAAAAAGAAAGAGGACATTTAATAAATTAGAGAAATTGAAATTAGATATAATATGCCTGCAAGAAGTACATATTAAAAAAACAACACAAAAAATATTTGGATTATCCAAAATTGGGGAAGCTGTATATGACACTTGCTGATCAAAGCAAAAAAGGTGTGGCATTGTATATCAAAAAGTCAATACAATCACAGCAAAAATTTGAAGATGAAGAAGGAAGAATATTGATAGTGGAAATAATGATGAATAACAAAAAAAATATTGATGGTGACGATATATGCACCAAATGAGAATCAAGAAGAATTCTATGGAAAACTCCACAAAAAGATAATAGAATATGAATATGAAGAAATATGTATATTAGGGGACTTTAATGCAATAGTAAATAATGAGTTGGATTATAAAACTGCAAAGTTGAATAAGAAGTTAAGGAGAACACTGCCTAAAACATTCTTTACAATGATGGAGGAATTAAGTCTACAAGTTGTATGGAGAAGAAGACACGAGAGAAAAACAATATACATTTTACTCAAATAGACACATGTTGTGGTCAAGAATAGACATGATTTGGACAATAATAGATCTAATTGTTAAAACACAAAAGATTGATATAGAAATAAGTATATGGGCAGACCACAATCCAATAATAATGACATGGAAAGGTCAGAGAAAAAAAATGAGATGGACATTAAATCAAAATCTATTAAATGAAACAGAATTTCAGCAACATATGGAAAAAGAATTGAACTTTTTTTTCAAAGAGAATAAGAAGGAGGACACATCCTTACAGAATGTGTGGGATACCACCAAGGCATATACTAGAGGACTAGTAATGACTTATCTAGAAAAAAGAAACAAACAAAACAGACAAACACGAAAGAAGATAGAGGGGGAACACAGGAGACTGGAAATAAAACTACAAAGAAACCCACAAAATGCTAAAATTAAAAATTTGATGGACCTAGAAAAACATAAATTGAATTTAATGGAAAATGAAGAAGTGGCAAATAAAGTGAAAGCCACAAGACAAAATTTCTTTGAAAATGCAAATAAACCAGGATGATGGTTGGCATACAAGATGAAAAAAGAGAAAGAAAAAAAATCATAAATCAATTATCAGACCAAGAAGGGAATGTTTGTTATCAAAAGGAAGAAAAGGAAAAAAATATTAGAAAAATATTATAAGGAACTATGCCAGCAAGAGACAGTGGCAGTGGAAAAGATAAAACAGTATCTAGAGAAGGCGGCAATACCTAAGATTCCAGAAAAAATTAAAAAGGCACTAGAAGAGAGAATAACAATGATGGAAGTAATAGAAGCAATAAAAAGACAAAAAAAAAAGGGGGGGGGGGACACCAGGTCCGGATGGATTACTGGCGGAATTTTACAAAACACTACAAGATGTGCTAAGCAACATCATGCTAGAAGTATTCAATGAGCTGTTATTGAAAGCAAAAATACCAGATTCTTTGTCGGAGGCCTATATAACTCTTATCCCAAAAGAAGAAACTGACTTGCAGCAAATTAAGAACTATAGACCAATTTTTTTAATTAAACGTGGATTATAAAATCTTTGCATCGATAATGGCGGAAAGGCTCAAAAGACTGTTAAGTGGATTTATACACTCATTTCAAAATGGTTTTTTACCCAAGAGACCAATTAGAGATAATATGCAAATTATATTGAATACATTACATCCCGGGAAACAAGTGGCATTGTTATTTTTGGATGCACAGAAAGCTTTTGATGATGTAAATTGGCAATTTATGATACTGCAACTGCCAATAGTGGATTTTGGGGAGGGATTCATAAATATGGTTAAAACTATTTATAAAGAACAACAGGCTAAGGTGATGGTAAATGGAGATATGACAGAAAATGTGTCAATTAGAAAAGGGACTAGGCAAGGGTGCCCGCTATCTCTACTATTATTCATATTGACACTAGAAGTTTTGAACAGAAAGATAAGGCAAAATAAAGATATAAAAGGAATGAAAGTTAAAAAAGAATATAAATTGCAAGCATTTGCAGATGACTTGGTATTTATAATTGAACATCTAATAGAAACAGGTCCAAAACTACTAGAGCAAATAGAAGAGTATGGAGGAGTGGCAGGATTGAAAATTAATAAAGATAAAACAATTTTTTTAGTGGTAACAGTGGTAATTAAGATGAATATATTACCAAGAATATTATTTTTATTCCAAACAATACCGATAAAAGTGGAAAAAATGTACTTTGAAAACTAAATAAAATAATAGGAAAATATATTTGGCAAGGAAAGAAAGCGAGAATTAACATAAGAATGTTGCAAGATTCACTGATTGGAGGTGGATTTGCCATACCGAATTGGGAATTATACTATCAAGCAGCAGCTCTAATGTGGATAAAAGAATGGATATTATTAATAGTGTTATTATTATCCTTGGTGGGACATGATATGCAACTGGGTGGGCACACATTTTTGTGGTTTGGGAAAAATAGAATACATGGTTATTTTCAGAGATACTATATAAGAAATGGTTTATACACAGTATGGGAAAAAGTAAAAGAAAAACACTATATGGAAGTACCAATGTGGCTTTCAACGGCGGACGCTTTGACACAACCGAATATTAGTAGTATGAAAAAGGTTATTAGATACAAAGATGTACTAAGAGCACAGGGAGAACTAAAACAGAAGAAAGAAGAAGAAGGGATTGATATAGGATGGTTTAAACAAATGCAAATANTCAACCCTGAGCCAGTGAGATTTGAACCGCTGAACTGCTGATCTAGCAGTAGCCTGCAGTGCTGCATTTAACCACTGCGCCACCTTGGCTCTTGCAAGCAATGTGAAATGACTAATATGCTATATTTACATTTCCCATCCTACATCCATAGAATCATTAGAGGTTATTTAGTCCAATTCATTTCAACAAGAGGTCCCCCTTG